GTTGCTCTAAGCTCCGGGGGATATTGAATTCGTTGTAGGTAACGAGAAGTGCTGGATTCATTGGAACTATTCGTTCCCCACCCTCAGGCTCATACAAGCTAATAAGCCTGATGTGGTCGTTCTCGACCACCAGAGCAAAACGATATTTGTCGTGGAGTTTTCAGCTCCTGGCGAGACGAATATCGTCAGAAAAGAGGAGGAAAAACGGATAAAATTTCGAGATTTTCTCTTCGAACTCCGCAGACTCTATCCAGATCACTCTGTCAAGATGGTTTTTCTGATTATTGGAGTCTTTGGTGGAATGATGTCCTCTCTACTCTCGAATTTCAAAATCATACAGGCTTGCCGCACTAAGGCAGAAATCTTAGCCGCACAGATGCAGAAGGCTGTCATTCTTAGCTCACTGCGCTTGCTCAGGACACATGATTCTCGGACCCAATGATCACTTACCCCACGGTGTGGGGAGTGGTCATTGGTTGATAATGCTGGCGTGCCCTCCCGAATGTATCGGGGCTTCGGGGGATAGGGCGTGACCAGCGCACACTACGGTGAAAAAAAATAATAATAATAATATATCTTCATTCATCACAATAAGAAGTACTCATTTCCTTCTTTCCTTTGGAAGATTCTCTCATCCATTTTTTTGTATCAGATGGAGTAGTAGAAAGCCAAAAACTTTCTTTCCCAAAAAAGAAGTACAAATTAAATAAAATTCAAAGAAATGATGAATAGGCAGAGTTCAGCTATGAGATCTGCTTTTAAACCCAACTTAGAAAAAGATTTAGAAATCGCAAATGAAACGATGAGAAATATGATAGTTTCCATTAACACTTCAGAACAAGAAAGAGATATGTTCATGGAAGAGCTTTGCCTATTAAAAAAAGTGAACAATTTAAACTTCATAATAATAATAAAACCCTCCCTGATGTATATGTTTCTGGGACCTGTAATACATCTGTGGAGCAAAGAATCATAAATCCAGAAAATAGAATCCCTAAAAATAATATAAATCTTGTTTTAACAGATGATGCCCTCAACAAACCCAAACCAAAAATTTTAATCATCGCAGGGTACCATGATAGAGACCTTGCTATCCATTTATCATGGATGTCGAATGATTTTGTGGTTGAGGCAATAATCAAACCGAATGCAACTGATACTGAATCAGTGAAAACTGCACTTGAGAATTCCACAAACCTAACCATGTTGTTTTATGGTCAAGTAAATCACATGTAAAATTGATTGAAGAATTTATTGTCAAGCTAATTCATACGGTCCCAGTAGTTCTCACAGAACTTTATGCATATCGGAACATTCACAAAAACACTAGGGTTTATGAAGATATTATCTCTATTTTTAAAAAACTTTTCGCGAGAGGCATACATTTTAGACATATTATGGACTGCAATCAGGTACTAGGCAGAGGTGTTTTTGACAGATACGATTGTATGAATAATAAAGGAAAAATAATCTCAGCATCAGCTCTACACAAACTTTTTCGAAAATATACAATTATCACTAACTATGAAGACGAAGGTACAGTTAAACTTATCCAATCCGCTTCTCAGTTAGAAGTAGCCCAGGTAGTGAAAAGCTTACCAACTCCAACTCTGTCTCTTGAAAGTTCTTTTTCATGAATAATAACGGATCTAGCTTCACCGGTTCTAAAATATCCATATGTCATCAGAACATCCGATGTTTAGGTAATAAGCTCAAAATTAGATTTAATTTATGACAAAGACTGTAGTTGTGATTTTCTTCTTATGTCTGAACATTGGCAGGATGAGGATCAACTTGATGATTTGAAGTTGAATAATTTTTCAATCTGTACAGGTTATTGTAGAAAAACATTAGCTCATAATGGCGTAGCTTTGTATAAAAATGATAATTTTGCCGTAACTCATGAAGTTTTAGATTCAACCGAATTTTGTGTTAAACGTGTTTCGGAATGTTGTGATATAGGGTTGAAAAAAATTAAAATAATTTCAATATGTTTATACAGACCACCTGAAACCAACTTCACGTCTTTTCTGGAGTTGTTGAATGGCCTCTTATTGAAATTAGGTAAGAATGGTATCAATGTTATTACTGGTGGGGATTTCAATATCAATTTTAATGTTGAAAGTCTCAATTTGAATAGGTTACTGGATCTTCTGAAATGTTGTAATTTGATGAGAACTATCACCGAGCCTACTAGGGTGATGCCAGGCTCGAGTACATGCATTGATAATTTTCTCGTCTCTAAAGATAATGATTACAGTACAGCAGTAATATAACCCTGAAGAGGCATAAACCTACAGCAGGGCCCCACACAAAACACACTTTTACAAAATATTTTGTAATCATTTTTAAAGATCAATAAACGTTTTTGACTTGACTTGACTTGACTTGACAGTAGTAATAAATTTAGGTTTGTCAGATCATTACGCACAGTTCATTGAGATACCAATTCAGATTGGTGAAAGTCATGCTGGCAAGAACAAAATTGATATTTTTAAATACCAGAGAGATTTTTCAGAAGTCAATACCTCCAACTTTGAAACAATCTTGGAAAATGAAGATTGGCACGATCTTTTAACTGAAACATGTCCCAATGCAGCATTCGATATATTTTTCAGAACTATCTTGTACTGTACTGAATTATCTTTTCCTATGAGACGCATTAAATTGAGGTCAAATTATAACAAAATCATAGTAACGAATGAAATTATCAAACTGAAAGATTTGGTTACATTATATTCTCAATTAGCGAACGTTGACGCATCATATAGAGATATCAGCCAGCAATTAACAAAAAAATACAGGCAGCAGTTGCAAGAAAATATAAAAAAAACAATCGATCTGAGGATAGCCAACTCAACTTATGAAACAAAAACCACATGATACTTGGTTAACCAAATGAAAAAGAAACCCAACCAAGTATCAGAAATTTCCGTAAAAGAGAAGGAAACAGAATTATACACTAGAGAAATGATCGAGAAATTCAATAATCATTTTACACCCATTTCAGGAAAAGTCGGACTTGATCTTGGATTCACGCAAAAAATCATACCTATTTGTTCAAATTCATTATTTTTCATTTCAATTTCTGAATTTGAGGTAATAGATTTTTTTCATAACCTGAAAAACACGTATTCATGCGGGCATGATGGGATATCTAATAATATTATTAAGAAATGTAGTCAGGAACTGAGTTTTCCCCTGGATATTCTGATAAATTTGTCAGTAGAAAAAGGGATTTTCCCAGACAAACTCAAGGCTGGGCTTATAAACCCAGTATACCTATTCCTATAGAGGGATAAGTCTTTTATCAAGCTTTAGCAAGATTCATGAGTTGAATATAAGAAATCAATTGTTTTCATTTTCAACTATAAACGCTGCTATCTTCAAGTTAGCATGGTTTCTAAATGGCAGAAGTACTGAAACTGCTGTATATAATTTTCAAGAAAATGTAATAGAAGCCTTGGATGGAAAAGTCCAGATTTGTGGCCTATTTATTGACTTTTCTCGGGCCTTTGATGGTGTTGATCATGACCTCTTATTGATTAAGCTTGAGCGTTATGGTATATATAGCCTTGAATTCAATGAAATCATACCTAACTGATGGATCCCAGAGTTCAGAGCCAATCTCTCATTGTTGAGCAGGGACTTCCTCAAGGCTCAATTCTTGGACCTTTGTTATTTTTAATCTATGCAAATAATCTCATTAATATGCTTGTTGACATCTCTAAAGTCCAAGTAATAATCACATGCTGGTGGTACAAATATACTCATAACTGGTGAAGATACTACTGAACTTGTGGTCACATCAGAAATGGCATACAATAAAGTAATGGAGTGGTCCGAAATAAATCTTTTAACGGTAAATGTATCTAAAACCTCTCTGATGAAATTTACTCTGAGGGTAACTATGGAACAGATTTTTATGGACAATTACATGAATGTATATGCTAGTGAAACGAATGAGTTGCTTGGACTAACAATCGACTGTAAATTGTACTGGGAACCACAAGTCGATATACTTTGTAAAAAGTTAAGAAAAAATTGTTATGCGTTAAAGTTCTTATCAAATAATTGTCACGAAAATATACTATTGATCGTTTATTATGCAAACATCAACTGTCATCTGCGATATGGTATTCTTAACTGTAGTATTTGTACATCTTGGTCTCGTGTTTTCGCTCTGCAAAAATTTGCTGTGAAAATTGTTGTAGGACTGAATTGGAGGCAGTCATGCAGAGAGGCTTTTAAGCGAATGAAGATCTAAACCGTGACAGGCTTGTATCTGTATGAACTGTGTATATATCTATACAAACATAAAGATAAATTTTTCAATAGAACAGATCATCAGTATGGCACTAGATCCATAAATCTTCTTGTGTCTGTTGGCACAGAACTAACCTATACCAAAAAAGTCATTTATATGTGGGATGCAAAATTTTTAATCACCTCGATGTCTCTATCCAAACTTCTACAAATATTAATATTTTCAAATCCAGACTTAAAGCGTCACTTATTGAGAGAAAATGTTACAGTATCAGTGAATTTATGACATAATACTATATTTTATAAGGATGTTTTCTTCTTGACAATCAAATGTTATATTTGTGCTGTTGTTTTTAAATAGCATTTGTTATTTGTACTATGACATTTTTAACCTTTTTCTAATATGTTCTCGTTCTGTCTTTTTTTATTAAGTTAGTAGGTTCTATGAATCTATATATAATTATATATTTTACTTCTTTTATATTAATAACTTATGACTGTGTTCATATCATTTAAATTCTTTTCTGTATTAATTATGACGTTTTTGTCAGTTACTGCTTGAATGTATTCATACATTTATGCTTTTTAACTGAAAAATAAAGATTTATTATTATTGATGTGTAGGTATATATCAATTCATTGTACAGTTCTGATCCACTAATTTGACCTTCACATCATACGAATAGTAAAGTTGAATATTTTTTATTTTTTTTTGTGATTGAAATTATTCTGGGTATATTCTCATCATTTATTGAAATGAAGTGTCATTATATACGTAGGTATTTATTTTATTTTTTGCCAGGCATCATGGAGTTAGCTGCTCCCATGAGTCGTCCCATGGATGCTGCTGGACGTCCCATAACAGCGCCAGGACGCATAATATTTCTTCCTCCTCCTCTACCTTGCATATTGCCCATGTTGCCAATGCCTCTTTGACCAAGTATAGATGATGTTAGAAGTAAAATCAAAATCACCTGTAAAGATCCATGATTGTTTTATGTTAGTTTACTAAACATTTTCAAATTCAAACAAACTTTCAGCGAATTTTAAAAATTGATAAAGTTTAAGGAGAGTTTAGACAAATTTTCAACAGTGGTACAAATTTCTATGATATTTTTCCAGCAGACAGTGAGTTGAAATGACTGACAAATTACCTGTTTAGAATCAAAATCTGTACTACCAAGTGATTACTATATTATAAACTTGTCTTAACTCAAATATTTTGATATCAAAAAATCAAAGATAAATATTATTACATAGATATCAATCGCAATATGAAAATAAAAATGAATACATTATTTGAAAAGACAATAATTTTGGTACATCAAATCATCCATAAAGGAAAACGAAAATATTTGAAATCGTTTCTCCAGCCCTACAACTGAAGTCATCACTGCAATATTGCCAGTAATTTGAAAGAACTCGGTAAAAAAATCTTCAGGTTTCGTAATGAACCGTTTGTGATTGTAGCTTGAACATTTTAAACGAATTTTTGGGTAATATTTGATAAGATTTCGAGCAATTGCAATAATATCGATATGTGTTTCACTTCCATTCTCCATGTCCGAATGGTTATGCTTCCAAAACACCAGAAATTTTTTTCTTTTTTAGTAAAATGTCTAAATTTAACAATATATTCTGGTAATTTGATACAATTTTTCTCCAGTTTCTTCAAACTTAGACTTTCGCCTATTCTGTTCTAAGAGTTTGAAAGTTTATTGTGGATTTTTTTTGTGAGGGACCAACACATCGGATTTGAATCGCTGGAGATTATATCTATTTGGAAAAACGTTTTCAGGAAGTTTATTCCACATGACCGCAGTCAATGAGCAGCCATAGTCCGTCGCGTATTTCTGATATGTACCGCTCTCGGTAGAATCAAATGTGCCAAGTCACTTGAACACCTCCCGTGAAAGTATCTATAGAAGAGCGACAAATCTCCAACCTTTCTTCAATGTTCCAGACTATCAACGTTGCACGTGATGTTCGCGTCTCCAATCAGGCGGATGACTCTTTTCTGGATGGAATCCAGCATCTTCAGGGTATGTTCGGGGGCAGAGCTCCATACATGAGAACAATACTCCGGAGAAGTTGCTGAAGTGTGTACAGTTTTCTGGTTCGGAACAGTTTTCCAAGCTTTTGATTGAGTTTCTGCGTGTTTACTTCAAATGTTTATTTGAGTGCGGCCATTTGTCACCGTCAACTGGAATTTTGAATATCATTAAAGATTTTTCCACTTGAATGTGAAAAATACGACAATATTTTTAAGATGCAAGCATACTGTTTGAAGCAGTTTCAGTAAATTTGAGAACGGCGCCGTGCCTTGAATGGTTTATTCTCGAATTGAAATTATTTCTTTAATGTGTGAATCCAAGTACATTGAGTCGAATATGGATGAGTTGGTCATGTACGGAAGCAAAGAAGGGCTACATATTTTCATTATTTGACTTCAATCTCGAAATTCGACATACTCATATGATGGGTCGAAACAACGCAGAGGAAGAGTGAATTCACTTGTGTTTAATTCTATACGGCGGTATTGGTGAGCCTAGTTTATTTTCAATATTGGAAGATTGAGTTCTCTGTCGATCCCCAAGATGGCGTCTCCGTAAGGGGATATGTCGTCGACCCCACCCTGAATTTCGACTTCAATATCGAAATTTCGACTTTGAACTTATATATGATTCTGAACTCTAAATTTCGAGATTAAAGTCAAAATTTCGAGTTTTAAAGTCGAGATTTCCAAAAAACAAATAATAAAAATTTATAGCCCTTCTGCGCTTCCGTACTCATGAGCTTTCCATCGAAGTGTCTATATTTTATATGATAAGGACAAATAGGCAACTTCATTTGGTTTTTTGGAAAAAAATCTCTATGGTTTGTTACTTTGCGATATGCAGAGTATTTTTCTGATTACATCGGTCGTTAGTTGATGAAGATCCATAGTAATTTCACAAACTACACTTGACGATTTGATTTACACAAACTTTATTTTCAAAAATATCACATGTTTCCCTATCACAGTAGGTTTTTCGTAGTTAATTACATACATACATGTTATTCACTACAAAAAAGCTACTGTGATAGCGAAATATTTTTGGAAATGAAGTTTATGAAGATCAAATCGTTAGTAAAAATGAATACAGGGTGGGGCATCAAAATTGGACCACAATTACAAATATTGTCCGCCATCTGGTTTTTTGCATCGATAAAACAATCACAATTTCCTATCCTGATACTAATGCTGATTCGAATCGCACCATAATTACAAATTTCGTCCATCATCTTGGAGCCACCATATTGGTGTTTTGCTTTGACAAACAAATCATAATGTACGACCCTGAAAACCACTACTTATCAATTTTGAATCAAATTGCACCTTATTTGCAAATCTTGTCCGCCATTGTGGGGCCGCTATTTTGTGTTTTTCCTCAGAAAAATTCCATAATGTATTGTCACCGAATCAATGTCAAATAAGCTTGCAAATGAAGTATCATAATTTGGAATACGAGACAGTTTTTTTCCCGTAAGAAGGCGCCAAAATAGAAAGTTAGTTAGCGAAAATTGACATTCCTTATAAAATTACCTTTTTGATGATGTGTCACACTTACTACTTTCCCTATTCAAATTGTTTGGGTGATAGTGACCGAGTAGTGGGGGAAGAGATATGATTGTTGAGGTTATGATAGACAGATGTCCCCTTTGGGATCGATCTGTTTCGTTATCGGTGCCCCACCCTTTAGAGTATTTCTCAGTAACATGTTGATATTTGGAAAAATTATTTTTGGATTCCTTTCAAGAAAGAAAGTTATATTAACACATTCTGAAATTGTCAACTTCTGAAATACAGGTTACCTCGATTTTTTCTACAACAGTATATGTTTAGAAACGGAAGATTTGATACACGAACCTCTATTTCAATCAGGAAATGAAAATCAAGGAATATCTAAAAACAAGAAAGTCGAACACAAATACTGTAATTCTGGGATTAAGAATAGTAGAAATTTATGAAATTAGAATGTTGAAATATTGAAATAACAATTATGAATTATTAGAAAGTATGTACGTGAAACTAACTACTGCCACGCTTTGATGAATGGGACAATTTTACTATTTAGCACCCAAAGCAGCCTAACATTCCAGTATATACAGAAACCATCGAACTCCATGAAAAGAAAAAAAATTGTCCAACTGACATTAAAAGTAACATTTTTAATGGTAGATTGATATATGTTACCCTCAGCTATTCTTTTAGACTTCCATTCTACGTGCTTCTTAAAATCCATTATATCTGCTCCTGATTCTGCTAGCAAAGAAGCAGAAGACCTTCTGAAACAGTGATCTGTATATTCCTTTGATTCCGGGAGGTTCAGAAACTCAGCAATGGTGAAAAGCATTTTCCCAAATGTGTTTAAACCAACTGGGTTGACACTATTTTGAGTATATCAGAAAAAAACGTTAATGATTGATAACAGAAGAGCGTGGTGCTACGTATTTATTGAAATAGTCAATGTTTTTTCCAACAATGCATAAAGAACGGCCTATTTTCGTTTTTGTATTTGGAATTTGAACAATCAATGATTCATCCATTAATTATATGTCTTCTATTGATTAATGGCACAGCTCTTCACGCCAGCAGGCTCCATATATTCCGGAAATAGTAACAACTTATATCATGAAATTTTTTTCATCCCATCTCATCTCTGGACTTGTTCAAACGTAGGAATTTTTGATTTTTAGGCGTATATTTTTCATTTCATTGCTTCAAGAATGATGTTACCTTGAAATATTTGCTTGTATTACCACCATTTTCAACGAGCGCACTCGACTTTATCATTGAAAACTTGCTTTACAAAGTTGACGAGTTTCATATTTTTTATTTCTATTCCAGATAGGCCAAGAAGAAGGTTTCGCTGAAATTTCATTCGATGTTTTTAAGTCTACACCAGCTTAGAAAATTAGAATATGCGATGTCGTTCTGCTGAGCCGATTTTTTTGGTAACAATTCAATTAAAGCTCTTTTCGCAGCCTCTTCAATATCGTCAACAACAGACAATTCCTCACTATTGTTCTTCATTATGCAAGACATTAAACACCAGCAAGTACTTTGAATGTGAATTTGAATTAAAGCGTAACCAGGTGATTCGGCATCACCTGACACGGCAACTTCACAGTAAATGCGATAACATGAAAAAAGTTAACTGACAAGAGATGTCAAAATGGGTTTTTATAGAAATATTAAATTCATCTATTTTAATATGAAAACAGGACAGTTGTACAAAAAACTTAATATGTATAATATTTGTGTTAAAAGTAAGTTTTATTTTGTTCGTGAAATTGCTCAACTCGCTACACTCGTATCATAAAGAGCTATTAACAAAACTCAGATTTTGAATTCCATAAAGCATGGTTTAAAAATAATTGTCAAATTTTCATTTGATATTATATCAAAATTTCTGTGTAAATCATGTTCTCATCACTGTAATGGTTACGATAAGAATCCCATCAGTTCTGCATGGTTTCCATTTTTGCGCAAGATACCTGTGATTTTGAATTATTTCTCTGGATCAATTCCACTAATCGTGTTGAGACATTTCTTATTTTTTTTAATATTGTCAATTCTGTATTGATTCTAAATATATTTTTCATTGCCTAGAAACCCCACATTTTATGTAAAGATATTTCACATAGAACGATATCATAATTCAATAGAGATCCTGAACAAATGAAGGGTATTGTGAGAAAAGATCGAGTTGTTATTTATTTTGTGCAGACGACACGACATAAAAACCATAACTGACATGTTTGTTCACATGATATTCTGAAACTGCAACCTATCCAATAGAAAAAGCGTTTCAACAGTAACACTTTATGAATGTAATCCTCTAACCTCTAAGAACAATTCCACAGTTATTTATAATGAAGTGAAAAATCTCGGAAAAATAATATTCCAGAGAAAGCACGAACAAAATTGACCATATAACTAAAATGTCCATTTTCTGCTGCTTAGTTTAATCACAGGAGAATAAATGATTGGAATCATGATACTTTCCACAACTCATAACTTTGAGATATCTCGATTTTTTCTGCTTCAAATATTTTTAAAAATAGTATCATGAAATATCAGTCCAGTTGAAAATTTGAAAAGCATAATAATATTACAATTTTATCAATAACTGCTGTCAAATCACCTCAAAAAAGGCTTTCTGATTCAACAACAGACATTTTTTTCAGCAATACCGTTGACATGACCCGAAGTTCAAAGAGCTACTGAATGAAAATGAATTAATTAATTATTTCGAACCTCAGGTCCCAAAATGATCAAAAGAGACAAGTTTGACTAGAAAATGAGTACTGAATTTTATTGAAACAATAGAAAGCATAACGAACATTAAGCCATGTTCTTACCTGTAAACCAAATAAAATAAACTTCATCTTCACATCAAATGTAACCTCAAACACGAAATAATGAAGATCGACTTATGAATACTTGCTTTACAAACGATTATATAAGTTTTTGGAATATCATTACCTATTTAAAAATAGTCATCATCAAACTAAATACACATTATTATATGTTCCAAGTCAAAAAATTATTGTTTATACGCGTGAACAATTGAATTATTTATTATAATAATGAGATTGTGTATTGAAGCTGTGGAACATTTTGAAGGCAATATCAATGACTACATTTGAGTAACTATACAAAAAATTCCACAGGAACAAATCATTTCCTAATAGAATATAAAATTGCATTGTGCTTTGAACTAAAACAAGGATTCTTCCTAATATAATTGACAATATAGACCGGTGTCACAGGCTGATACTAATGACGTATTTTCAGAACAACAGTTTGGGTTTGTTGATTGTGGTCTGCAGGGTTTAATGTCTAACGTTTCGTCTACGACATCAGAAGCGATGTAGCAACTACCAGAGCAAAGCAGATACCATTAGTACTAGTGTAATTCTCCAATTTTATTTTACAGGCGGTAGACATGTCTTCCTTTCCATTGGTTGACCTGACTTGACCTGATACAAGAGCAATTAGGGGCAAGGAGTCAGATCTTAATTATCGATTTCCTCTGCCTTCCCGTTAAAATTATTTTCAAACGCGTTAACTCGGGGTACCTTCTCTATGTCCATGTTCCGTTACTGTTGATTTGTCGGAATGCCCTAAGCGACAATTTCTCCCGTGCTCAGAGGAGCAGAAACTTACCCTTGTCGTCATTGTATTGTGACTTATCGACAGCTATAAGTGATCTGGTTAACCTCGGATACTGCTAAAGGTCCTCTGGGGCCTTAGACTTCCTCTGATGTATTTTGTTCGCCTCCATGATGGTTTTACGTTGTATTCATTCAGATTTCTCACGATCCGATCTGTTACATTCTTCACATAGAGCAGAAGAGCTTTTCCATTGCCTGCTTCTAATAACACAGTTTCTCTTCAAAACTCTCACATTCACATATTAGTTCTCGACTCAGTTTTCAAATATGTCTTTCTTCTGTTTTCGTTGGTTGTCAAAATTTCTGTTCAGGTACCTGGCTGTGTGCTTTGGTTTACTATACTCTATGACCCAATGTTCCATCTTCACGTCTGCTCACTAGTACATCTAAAAAATGAGAGTTATTTGGGTTTTCCGTTTCCCAATTAAAAAATCCAATTCACAATGAAATTGGTCTCTTGCAACACTGAAAATTCACCAGATCCCTCGTTGTTACTATCAAAAAACATGTAGATAGGCGATAGAATTTTAGGAATAGAAAAACATTTTCAACCGAAAGAAAGAAAAAATTAACATCAATGATATACTGCTATCTGCACTCAATTGTTTTCGTATCACGTCATCCAATTCAACCAATATGAACGAAGTTGCATATATCACCATTGGAATAACACCGAAAGCCCAGACTCGAACATTTCATTTATTGCTTAATCGCCTTTGATGTCTACCGCAGTCGCAGACAAAACGTCAGGCATAAAAACTTGCAGATCACGGATACGAGACACTCATCTTCAGTTGTGAAAGTTCACCCACTACATTCAATGCTGAACTCGATCAACTATCCAAATCGATTGAAATCTCACAATAAGGAAATGTACTCATTCAAATACCAAAATTCACGTTAATTTGTGAACCTAATCGCAAAGACATATTATAGTTGCTGTGATGTCCAGAAATCCGTGAAATGCCACCGTATGTGATTGACGTGTTCATTGTGCAACGGGAGATAGCCGCAGCACGAAATGGCTTTCAGGTGCATATTTAATTTACAGATGTCACGATCTGACGCTGAAATATTATTGGGGTCACCATAAATATGGGTTATACCTAGGTCAAATATGCATTGAAATAATGAATGTGGGCTGTCGGTTTTTTTAGGTAAATCTAAATCCTTTCTATGGATTGATTTAATGATTTTATCGTTTTGACTGCTGTGGCATTGATGGAAAATGTTCATAAAATATTTTTTCATTTGCTTATGAGGAGAAATACTAATGAATGATGTGGAAAAGATTGTTTCATTTTGACCCAAAAGCGATCACATATCAATTATCATTAACTCAATTCGAAAAATTTTTGACAGATGAAAAATATTGAATGAATATACAACCTTCCATATAAAATTTTTTGTCCAATGAGTTTGAAGAGCAGACATGATTCTCTTCAGTTTTCCATTAGATGACACATTTTTAACCAAAGTAACAATCAAATAATATTTTAACAGTACTTCTTTGAATAATATTTTACGAAGTATTACTGATTGTTTTAATAAATGAAATAAATATTGTTTCAGATACATGGGCTCCACACAACTTGTGATATTGAATTGATGACCAGAAATACTTGAACTACGATCAAAGTCCATCTATCAAATCAATAAAACTAGATCCTGATGCTCTGATGCGAATCCCATCCCTCATCATCATCATCATCATGTTGGCGAGGGATACAAGCAAAGAAGTATATCCTGCTGAAATTGTTTGAAGCGAACATTATTTGAAACTGCGCATTTTATCGGATCGGAATAGAAAATTCATCGGAGAAAATTATTGAGCAGTTGTTACAAATTTTGTATCTGAAAATGTCCAAACATTCTAAGTGATTCAATTCGTTTTTTATACTGAATGTAAGAGAGCATATTCATTTTTGAACAGATATACTTCTACCAGAAGATAATTTGCGAGTATTCAATCGTTATTGTCTATGTTTCTTCGGCCAATATGAACGTTGGGACATGATCAAAAAGTCAAATTATATACACTCATAGGCACAATTAACCGCCCACCTTGTATTTCTTTCAATTTTCAGAAACATCCAAATTCATATCACATTTCATGAGAGGGTATGTTAAACCCTTAAACTACCTTTGAAGTATAAAAAACAAAAATTTTCAATAAGAGTCATTTCTTAACGGTTTCTTTACAAAAATTTAATTAATGAAAATTTTCGATGAAAATTTGACAAACTTAATTGTGACAAAAGTGGCGTTTCTTAAAAAAAATTAAAATTAATAATGGGTGTTGCCATCTCCAGCCCTTATGACTTCTTGGAGTCAGTTTGCTAACCCATCCACCATATTCTGAATATCCATTTGGGGGATATTGTGCCACTAATCTACCATAGCTATCTTAAGTTCTCCCAGAGTCATAGGATCTGATACTCTATCTCTTATACGTCTTTTGAGGTTATCCCAAATGTGAGATCGGGTTGAGATCGTGAATGCGTGTCAGCCGTGGTAAAACTTGAATCCCGACCTCATTGAGGTACTCGGTGAAGGATCTTGCAGTATGGCACCGTGCATTGTCATGCATCAATCGAAAGTTGTCCCCAATGAACGGTACAAAAAGTAAGATGTGGTCTTGAAAAATCTCTTCTACGTATCTTTGAGCATTCACATTGTCTCTATCAAACAAGACAAGATCAGTACGAGCCACGTAAGAGTCACCTTCCCAAACCCCACTGCTTCTGTTATAGCGCACGGAGCAAACCTATCATTTTCTCCCGAATTCGTCTGATCGCATCCCTTACCGTAGTACGAGGTACACCAAGCCCTGGCTACATCAGTTGCGTCGAGTGGAATTTTTTACAGTCACAAACAATAAGGGAACTCTAAACAATACTTGTACCATATAGCAAAATGAAACAAGAAATGATAACGCAGTAACACAACAATGTCAAACAACGACCTAATTACAAAAACCCATCGGTGATACAAATTTAGAAAATTAAAAAATGATATAAGTGTTGATTTTTTTGTTAAAGCACCCACTTCACAATAAACAAAACAATTGATAAGCCTTAGTTAGTATAAAACTGCAAATGAAATATGTGGACGATTAATTGTGCCGGTGAGTGTACTAACGATTTATTCTAGCCTATGCTGGAGTTCTCACTTTACTGTTTTCAATGAATTCTCATAAATTATGATTTGTTTCATAAGCTACATCCCAGTCTGTCCTTTTCATAAAAGAGCTTCGATACTTGAGGTTGGATAGACTTAATTCATAATCTGATTCAGCATGTTATTTAAAAAAGTGAAATCAAAAGTATCTTCACTATTACCATTGTTGACAGCAATTTACTCCATGAAACAATCATTCCCGGTAGGAAATTATTTAATTTCGCTAATTTATGCTGATTTACATAAATATCGATAAATCATGTATGACCAGGATTATATAATATGGTCATGTTTGATAATTTCTCTATAATAGTTAGATCCAAAATAATTATTGGGTCATTCACTTCCGTTGCATTGATGCATTTAATGAAAGAGTAAATGGCATTAAAAAATTTAAAAAACTCACCCAATTGCCTATTGAACCAGTGAAACAGAGATATCATTCACCTATTTGTACCAATAGGTAAAATACTTGCCATTTAATAACTATGAAATTTAGTCTCTGTCATCCATAAAAATGTCAACTAGCAAAGGACTCGAAGAGTTTCCATTGTTAGCCCCTCGATGACATTATATAATTTATAATTGAATTGGTAATAATTTTGAGGTCTCAACAATCTTAATGTAGAATTCTAGTTGATTTACTTAATATCACGATATATCACTATTCGAGAGTATTATTTCTAATAATCATGGCTAGAGATTTGTAAAAATTTCAAAATCTTTATTAATTATTACTAATCGGGTAATTACATAAAAGCCAAAGAAATAGAATCAGTATAACATTATATTTAATTTTAATCCTACGGCATAAGAGAACCTACACACCAATTGCTGAAAGATTACCTATCAGATCGAAAGCAAACAGTTGAAATTGAAGGAATTAAAATCTATCTTAGGACTGTCACTTACGGTGTACCCCAGAGTTCTGTACTTGCACCCTTATTATTTTCTATACATATACAGGCCGTTTTTTCAGCTGATACCACTATTGCTATCTCGGAAACGGTAGGTCGTACAAGGACGGTTAATTGGAACAATTTTCAGGGATGCAACACAATGGAATTTTCAGATCCA